TGTATGTATGTATGTATGTATGTATGTGTATTTATATATGCGTATTTATGTACATGTGTGTAGGTATGTATATATATATATATGGATGTATGTGTATTTACGTGTATGTGTATGTATAAATAAGTATATGTGTGTGTGTTTATTTATTTATTTATTTATTTTCATCTAATACTGTGTGCAGTGTAAAGTAAATGCCATGTGAATTGTGAGCAGGAAACCATAAACCAGTATTTTTGTTGACAAGTTTACTCAAAACAATGTTAAAATGGTGAAAATCGTGCAGACTATGGCTTAAATACAATCTATAGTAAGTGTAAGTAAGTAGTATGTGAAAGGTAATTCCGTCTTATTTTGTTTGAACATCTGAAGTGTTGGAATATTTCCAAGCCGCGCAACTTCGAGGCATTTTGCTTTCTCCTCTCTGCCACCTCCAATATGGCGGCGACCTGGTTATGACCTTTAGCTTCCAATAGGGAGTCTATAGATGTCTATGGTGCAAAACACGTTTGTTTACAAGGAGGATGAATCGACATACTGTATATGTGTTAATTTTTTTTATTAGTGAAGCGTTTATCATATATGGAAGCCCATCTCATCTCATAATTATGAGATAGCTAAGTCATAATTATGAGATACAAGTTGTATTTATTTTTTTATCAGGGTGGCGGAAATGGGCTTCCATAATCATACAATTTTATACGTGCATATTTGTGTGAATGTTTACTGTTCTTTTTCTGTTTCTTTCACTCACTTTTTGTAATTTTTTAAACATTGGTTTAAATAAAAATTATCTCTTCATTTCCTTCAAAACATTGTTTTTTCCCCAAAATCTGTGTAAAAATACTATCTAATTTTTTATGTCTGCTACTTTGTTAGTTTTGCAGATTTTAGCTGCCATTCTGCTTCTTTTAGCTACTTTTACATACTCAAATACTGTTACTTGTAGCTGCTGTTTAGTTCTTTCAATACTGTTCTGTTACCTTTTTACCTAACACTCTGCTCTTTATTTCTTTTAGTTTCTGTTTACCTAATTTTAGCAAATGTTTTGCTGACTTTTATTTTAACATGTTTTGCTACTGACATCAGTTCTGCTAATTTTAGATATTGTGCTTCTATTAGCTTTTAGCTACCATTTGGCTTCTTTACTTTTTACGCCACTGATTGGGTTACTTTTAGTTACCATTCTGCTTTTTCAACTTTTAGCTAATGTTTTTCTATGTTAAAGTTTTAACTACAATTTTGAGATACATTTCTGTTTCATTCAGYTTTAACTACGTTTAACTATCWTTCTGCTCATTTTATCTTTTAGCTTCTGTTATGCTGATTATAGCTACTGTTTTKCTTTTTCAGCTAAAGTTTTGCTAATATTACCTGTTTGATTCATGTTAGCTACTGTTCAGGTTCTGTTAGCTTTTACCTAATATTTTGCAAATTKCAGCTTTTAGCCACCATTTTGCTACTTGTAGCTTTAGCTACTTTTTAACCAACATTTAGCTATTTTTTCTTTAGATAGCCGACTTTAGGCTACTAATTTGCTAATACAGTATTATCTCTG